ATTCTTAAAGTTGATGTTTGGTATTTTCTCGTTAGGTTAACAAAGTCTTAATAATTTTTTTTGTACCATGTAGAACAATTTCCTGTTTTTCAGTGCAGAAATGTGTTTTTGCTTGTTATAAGAAAGTTTGGGTAAATGTTAACTTTGAATGTATTACGTATGTTTCAGTACAGATACAGACAAACAATTGAATGACTACCAATACTAGCTTGCAAAGTTATAATAATTCCATCAAGAGATAAGAATACCTATATGACAAATATATCCTGAAGATTTATTTATCATATGCATTAATACAATATACAATGATTCTTTATTTTATATTATTGATGCAATATTTGGTATCACTAGCATTTTGTTAATGTATGTGTTTTTGTTGTTTAATACTCATAACGTAGGTAAAGTAATATGTAGAATTATACACAGATTTTTCGCTGCGTTAAAATACTTTTATTTGCAAGCTTTCAGCCATCTTAATAGAGCCTTTATCTGGTAACAGTGTACATTGTTGCCCAATGAAGGCTCTGGTAAAAGGGCTAAAAGCTCGCTAATAAAAGTACTTTAATGTAGTGAAAAGTCCATGTATAATTCTATGTGTGTTTTGTTATAGCAAAGCCACATTGAGCTATCTGCTGTGTTCACCATGGGGAATCAAGCCCCTGATATTAGCATTGTAAATCTGAAGACTTACAGCTGTCCCACCAGGGGGCATTTTTTTAAATGAGATGTTTGCAAAACTCCAGTGAAACAAATAGAACATTGGTACCAACATTATTGGATTTCTTGCATTTAATGTCAAAAACCTAATTCAAATGCATATACAATCCATAAACATATCTCTTTGAGTAAGTTTATATTTATAAAAGTCTTCAGTGTTTTGACATTGTTAATTTACCTATTAAATTATTTCTGTGTTTACATGACTATTTTATAAAACCATATAAATGTATTTTAAAGATGCTAGCAGAAATGCCACTGTTTCTGCTAGTAATTACTAATCGTAGTATTCATACCTCATTGAAAAAAATTTAGAAAAAGTTAACTTTTTCTGGGAATACTGCAGAAAAAGTGTTCAGATTGTGCTCATACGCAACTCGCTGCATCAAAATGATTCAATGTACAGAGCTCAAAATGTTCATAAATTTTACTGATTTAAACTAATGTTTTTATGTATTAAAAATACCTTTTATTGAAAAAAATAATAGTTTTTTTTAAGAACTCTGGTTTCTCAGTATACATTTAAAAATTTACATCAATAAAGATGTAATCAAACCTCGCCTACAGTCCTAGTGAAAGACATGTTCTCGTTGTGAGGAGAGTACTTTTATTTAAAATTGTTCTTTTATAAACAAATGGTTGTTGCACGTACCATAGTTATTTTTCTAACTGTCTGAACCTTGAATACCAAAGTGTGAAATTTTTATGGGTTTTTGTTTGTGGTGCCATTAAATAGATGGTGCAGGAGTTTTGGTCACATACATAGATACTGACATACACGCTATATCCATTATAGTAAGATGATGATGTTCTAGTGAGTTAATTAAAAGTTAGATATACGTTTGAAATTTCTTTTGTATAATGCTGCATGGTGGTCACCTAATAAACTTCATGTAATATTTATGCTGAAACTGTGTATTGATCTCAAAAATAAAAATGATGAATCATGGTTTCTGGCCTGTTATTTAAATTTGCCATTCCAATAAATAAAATTAAATATGAGTTTTATCCAATGACTTTTGAGCAGTTGTTGCAGCAGCAGTTGTCTAAGCAAATGACATTGCAGGAAAGCAGTAAATCTTTTTATGACATAAGAATTCAAATAAATGGTTTTGCCTTAACATTGTTTAATGATTACAACTCTGGAAGAAACCCTTAAAATATTAACAAGGAGGAATTTCAGGCCATAAAAGTTTAAGTTCAAATGTTGATATTGTAATTGTCAAACCCAGTAAAGGAAACAGTGGGGTTATTTTACTCAAAACTGATCATAGTAATTAAGTTGAAGAAACCTATAAGTTGTAAAATAAAACTAACTGGTTCTCATTCATAAAATAATGTATGACATGTTAGACCAATAGTGCCTGACATAGGCATGTATCATCATGAACTAGCTGTGTTTTGGGGCAAATTGCTAAAACCCTTAATTAGAAATGAATATACTATCGAAAACAGTTTTGAGTTTTCTCAAGAAATGGAAACATCTGAATTTTAAAAATGGTGTTCATTGAACTAGGTTTGATATAGTCCTTTTATACTAACATATTGCAAGAAGGGACAATAAATGTATGCACTTTGTATCAAAACAACAACATTGAGAATTCTTGAACAAATTGTCACAATTACGAGTTTTGTCACCAAAGAATCCCATTTCATTTATGACCAAGTGGATGGTGTTGCTGTGGGAACTAGATTAGCTCCATTACTCGCTAGAAGATAAATTCAATATTAAGCTGTCTACTGTTAAGATAGCTTAAAAACTCAAAATTTTAAGCTTCTTTGAAGATAAAGGTATCATCTACATATCTTCAGTCATATACTGACTTGAACTGTGAAAGGCACTGTTGATCATCAGCATAACCACCAACTTTCATTCTTAGACCTCTTCATTCATAATAAAAATGGTAAATATGAAATTTTGCATAAGAACACTCGCAGGGCTATATTTTAATTTTGCTAATTACATACCATTGTTTTTTAAGAAAATTCTGGTTCAATGAGCATAAGAGATAAGTAAATATGATTTTTTTTTTCACAGACCTAAAAAATAATAAGGAATTCCTACTGAAGTATGCTTTTCTACTAGGCATCATAAAGCAAGTAATTCAAAACTATTTAAACAATACATAACATTCTATGATACCAAAATGGAATATACCATTTTAGGCCTGTATGCAGATTACAGTATTTTTAGGTTATATTGGTTCTGCCACAAGGTGTTCAAAAAACCACATACTACTTTAAGATGTGTCATTTTTCAAGTTTTAAGAAATGTGCTGAATGAATGTAATGAACCCATAAAGAGAAAAAGGTTTAAAATAATTTCTAGGACCAACAGTGCACAAGAAGTGATTAACAGTCTTAAACCAAAGTTAAATGAGCAAAACATTGTGGTTCATTTATTGTTAAATTTTTGAGTGTTAGTGATTGATGAATCAATAAAAAAAATTGTTTCATTTAGTTATATATTAGTACATATTCCTGAAACTTTGGCTGAAAATTTTAAAGATATTTCACATTTCTCTCTATGGCACGCTCAAGGAAAACATTTAGTTTCATCAAAGAGATACAATGTAGTCTTCAGAACAAAATATGTAAATGTGGTGTGATGATGATAAGTGATTCCAATAGCACAAATAAGGAAAATTTGACGTACTGATATGCTTGCCAACAGCAACAATAGTTGTTAAAAGAACAATGCATGCATGTTACTAAGAGAAGATGATGGTCTGCTTTATCTATTTTATCATTATAAATAAAAAGAAAGGATCCTACTCTTATGTTGAGATTTAAGTTTGTGTTGACTTAACTTTATGCTAAAGAAGCATTATTAAGCAACATCAGTATTCACTGAAGGTTAACAAAAGAAATTTCTTTATGTGTAGGTTGCACTATATCAAACTTTCTTTTGAAATATAACAGCTTTTTAAGAAAGCCTATTGAAAAAACAACAACAAATCATTAAGCGTAACATCAGCCATGTGTTTCAAGTCTAGATAACCATATATTTTAAATTAAATCATTTTCTTTGTCTGTCAAAATCCTGGGGGTCTGAAAAAATTTTAATATCATACAACCAGTGGTTAGATATTATTCAACATAGACCAAACCAACAGTTTCCACACACAATTTCACTGCCTCTCATTCAAAACAAGAAATGTTCCCACATACAAGATAAGATTTTTCTACCATTCGTGCAGCAACTATAAAATAGTAACTTTTCATATATTATCTTTGTGTGGAATATTCAAAATGCTTAGAGTATTTAACATTTTACCATAACTGAAGAACCATAAAACACAGAACAAAATATAAGATGACCTAAGGTATAAACATGTTAGATTATGCCAGAAAACAATATGAAGAACTATATATATATGTGTGTGTGTGTGTGTATGTATATATAGTAAACTTTGTAGATATAAATCTTTGTTTCTATATGTTATTATAAAGTTGAATATTATTCTATTAATAATTTAATTTGGGACATGAAGTTAATACAGTAACTTTCGTAATGAACATAAGTAATAAACAGCAAACGAAATGATCCTGTACATTATTATTGAACATTCTTGTAATAGAAATTTTAAAGTAAATTAGATAGGAAAGACATAGAATGAAAAGAAGTAAATAATAATGCCAGTATAAAAAATAATTGATTCACAATGCCCAACCTGTGATTTGCTCTTATTCAAGGTATTTAAACCCTTTGAAAAAGAAAAGATCATAACGAATTTTTTTTTAAACTACATTGTTAAATGAAATTGCCACTATAAAATTTGGAATGAGTGTGCAGTTTTCTTCAATAAACATTTAACTTGTATGGCTCTCAATCTTCCATATACTTAGAAATATAGAACATCCAACTGTGAGAATCTATTGATCTTACACAAGTAACTTGATTTATTTATCATAATGAGGATTGAGCAGATAAACGAGTGTAAACCTGTATTAATTGAAATTTTGGGTTTTTGATTCATGTATACCTCAAGTTATAAAGTTTAGATTTTTATAACTGTTTTAAGTATGGTAGTGTTAGTTCAAAATAGAAGTTATTTCTTAATAAACTACAGTACTTTTCATTTGAAAATACACATGTAACTTAGAAACACTTTTCAATTTAAAACCTTATATCCTGAATTACAACTTATGAAGCACGGTAATTACACTGGATTTGTTTGGCACTTGAGTTTATAAATAAACATACAATTAAATAAAATGATTCTTTAAGGTTTTTTAAAGTGTAATGAAAACATCATCCAATAATAAGGCAGAACAAGTTATTAGAGATGCTCGAAGCAAATTTATTAACTGAAAATCTAAGAACTATTGATTTATCTTATCAACAGAGACTATATGTGCAAGTACAACCAAATATTAAGCCTAAAAAGGTATCATCTTTTATCTCTAGATATTTTTTCAAAGGAATCACCTGGATTTTTTTCATAATCTTCATATACTGGAAAAGATTCTGCAAAACAAAAAATATTTATATTTTAGAGAAAGAAAAAAGGTATTTTAATAAATATTCTTAGTTTATGTTAACCAATAGGAACCTATATTGAAGGGATTCTTCATTGTACTATAATGATTAAAATCTTAATCTATTTCAAGGAAGAGTGTTCTGCAAAAACAGAATTTTAACCTCCATGTCTATTTATCACTTTACCCTGTTGTCTACCAAAGACTTTACAGGTTTTGGTATGCCATAACATTTTGAATTTACATTTTTACACTGGTTTGTAAATCACTTTTTTTTTAAACAGAGTAGTGGTACTTTATACAAAAAACTCCAATGCTTAAAAAACAAACTAGAAAACTTCAGTGAATTGTCGCTTCTTGGATTATTTTTATTTCTCTTTAATATTATGTTATGTTTATGTTATATTTGTAGATCTACTCAAGATAATAGTATCTAGCTAATAACTCGTTTACTATAACTACATTTTTAATGTAACAGTAACCTAACGAAGATTTTATACCTGGAATATTTTAGCTAAATCTATTATCTTTCAGCCTTTTCTACATGAAAAAGTATTGCAAAGCATGCAGGAAATCCTGTAACATAAATTTCCTAGTCTTTACATTTTGAGCTAAAATGAAAAATTATAGATTAAATAGGCAACAATTTGTTATAATTTAAAATTAAAGTATATTACACTTTCACTATTAAAACATTCTTTGATATCTGATATTGCACTTAAAAATGGAATAAGACTGAAGATCCTTCAATTTCCATTTTATCAGTAGTAGGGTTGTAGCTTTAACCAAATTTGGCTAGTTAACCAACTGCTTTAACTTTTATATGCTAAAATGAACAATTATTTAAATCAACTTGACTAATACTAAAACTATTCCAACTTCACCAATCTCCACATGATACTTAACCACACTTTGTAATCTTTGGATGATAGTATATGTTACCAACTTGACTAATCTTTGGGTAACACTTGACCAACTTGATCTCTGAATGACACTGAACCTTTTAACCAAATCTGGTTCAATTTGAACATTTTAATTAATACATTTTTACTCATCAAGTGAATTAAATAAAGCACAACCTTTCATTTTTCTTAACTAATTATTTTTGATTGTTTTAATAAGTTTGATTTCATTGAAATGTTACATTAGTTTGTATGAGTATATACTTACTAAATTATCTTTTCCTAGTTAACCAACACGAACCTATTCAACATATGACTTTTAATACAACTTTAATATAACTGTGCCATTTCCAAAGCAGTACTAGATAGCTTACTCGATCTTCAGATGAGTTTTAGTTTTGTAATAATTAACATATCTACTATTTAAGGATTTATTTATTTTTTATCTGGAAGACCATTCACAATTTAAAGCTTTGACTTTGGTCTTACATGTGATCACATAATTTATTGTTTTCAACATATATAAGGAAGTTTCTGAGGCAGCATAATATATAACTTTTACATTTTTATTGTTGGGAAGTTAGAAAAGTATTTCTTTACAACTGAACATAATTCATAAAAATAATTCCATACATAGATGTTCTAGATCAACACCACTGGGTGATATTACTGAAAATATCCCTGAAGACAAATGTTGACTTCAGCTAAAAACAAAAACTTACTTTTTTGTAATTCCCTGGTTTCACTGTTTTCCTTAGATTGTGTTTTTAGTTCTCTTTCCTTTAGTAAAAAATACAATAGATTGAACAAAGTCAACTAACACCAAAAGTTTAATGTACCATTCTAAGAAAAACCTTTTAATTAATATTTTTTGAAGAGCAGAGCCAAAGGCATACAATTAAAAATAGATACATTGTAAATGTGCAAAATTATGATATATTTTAGTACATATTAATAATTTATAAATAACTAGCTGGAGTACCTGTCCCCTGGATGGAACTTATGTAAATTCATGATTAATGAAATGTTATCTCAGAACATGAAAACTTGCTTCCCTTGTATGTAATTGCAAAAGTACCCATAAAAACTGCAAAACATGAAACTTCAAGTTTCCATGTATCTCCCCATGGACCCAACAAACCTTCATGCAAAATTTGGTGAATATCCATCCACAGGCAGTGAAGTAGTGGTAAAAAACTGCATATATCTCCTCATGGACCCAATGAACCTTCATGCAAAATTTGGTAATAATCCATCCACAGGTAGTGAAGTAGTGGTAAAAAACACCCATAAAAAACACAAAATGCAAAACTGAAAATTTGTATGTATCTCCTCATGGACCCAACAAACCTTCATGCACAATTTGGTGAAAATCCATCCACAGGTAGTGATGATTTAAATAATAACTTTTCAAAATTCTATTTTAAAAACAATATTTGAACTAAATTAGAACATACAGACCCTTTAATATTAATGCATGAGTCCAGCTATTGAAAATTCTGGCATAGTTTGGTAAAAAAAAAGGGAATTCTATTTATCAAGTACCAGAAATTGGTACCACTGTATCAATTTTTAATGGTGAAAGAGAAGAGATCTAGAAAAATAGTGTTTAGTCATTTCTGTTCCAGCAGAATTATAACATATACAATTATACAAGGTCATACTTCATAATTTTATTTGGGAGTCAAGTAGTTTTCAACATGATAATGGTATAGCTAGATAATCGGTGGAGTTTCAGAAGAACAGTTTGTAATTTTTTATGCAAAAAATATTTGATCTATATATAAATAAGATTAGAAAGAATCTTTTATGTTTTTCAAATAACTAATTAGTATTTGGCAATATATTATAGTGGGGCCACAGACTTTCTAAATTTTCTTACCTGTTCATAGATTTCTCAGATATGTGTGTGTGTGTGTGTGTGTGTGTATCTTCAATACACTGATACTTCAATGTTTTCTCAAAACTCTACATAATTAACTATACTTTAGCTTGCAATTTTGTTATAAATAGTAATAAAAACTTCAGAATTACTTCATGCTAAAGCACTACAGAGAAAGATATTCAGAAGAGGACACTGCAACTTCACTGTAGACAATAAAATATTACATTTTTATTTATAAAAAATATTTAATGAAACTTATCAAGTAAATTAAATAAATTATTGTTAACAAATAAAATTAAAAAACAATATTAGCAGCTAAAAGTGGGATTAAGAAAGAAAAAAAAATATACAACATTTTTATTTGTACTAATAATTGGCATAGCTCAACAAGCATGGTTTGTGTGTGTCTGCAGATTCTGAGATTTACATAAAAAAGGGAGGCTTCCATAATTTTTCATGTTTGGGATAACTTTTCAATTTTTATTGACTTCAAATACCCTGACTTTTCCAGGTTTGTGGCTACCTTAATAATATGCATGTATTATATATAACCTGTTACAGTATTGCTATATACTTGCTAACTCAAAGAATACATAAAAGGTACAACAGGAGTGTTATATACACTATTACTAATAATGTATCATTTTCACATAGGATATAAATTTTGTTTTGAGAAGACTTATTAAATATAAAATTTAATAGCATTATAATAATAGAAAAATGACAAATAAGTTTAATCAACAGGTTTAGGATTGTCATAAATTATTCTATAAAGGGTTATTTGAGAAATTATGCATTTGAATTTTATAGTTATCCAAAGGGTACTTCCATCTGAGGGTCAAGTTCAAATAGGTTAGCTTAGGTAGGTTTCTGCTGATGAAAAGGGCCTCTGAAAGTTACTGCAGTTTTGAAAAAAAAAATCTCCCCAAAGCATTCATATAACTTCAAAGTAAAATGCAAACTATATACAGAACTAACCTTTCTAGCTTGGTCTTCAACTTCTGCACCTTTTTGTTTCTTCATTTCCATTATTCTTGCATTTATTTCTATTTCCTGAAATTTAAAATTAAAAGTAACATATAGTGTGAAAAGGTAAAAATACAGTAATGGAGCCAAAAATTGTGGACTTTTTTTTTTCTATCTGTATATGCCAATTGATTATTATTAGGTGAATATATCCAGATTTCTGCCTATGGCTTCAAATAACTACTATTTAAAATCTATAGGAGAATTTACTAGTATAATGTATAAGATTCATTAATATTAAACCAAGATTTCAATTTGATGTCAGTGTGATGTACTTACAAATATGAATGTATACTGTTATGTTAATATTTCACAGTAAAAACAAAGCTAGCTTTTATAAATTTACTAGCCAAATGCTCTTAGGATTGTCCAGAACAAAAACTGTTGCATACTCAATGAGCTATCAGTTCTTCCACTTGAAATCCTTAGTGCTTTTATTCTTTTACAAAACTACATGACAAATTAACAGGCAGATCATAGTTTACACACTATACACAAAAAAAGAAAATTCTATTTTTTTAAATACAAAGGAAAACATTATCAGTTGCTCAATGCCTCAGGGTAAACAACATTCAAAGTTTTGCCTTATAGTGCACAGATTGCTTGGGTTACCAACTCTAGAATAGTCAACATATAACTGTCCATGAGAGAAACATAATGACAACAGGTTCAAGCCAACCACTTTCAGTGACCATCCTTGTGCCTTGGTAATAGACATGGCAAAACACAAACAGACTGGAAACTGAAAGTGTTTAAATTCAAAAGGTGTGTCTGTAGGGATGATGGGTATGAAGAC